CTTCCAGAAACTGAAGAAGTATCTAGCTAATCCGCCGGTGTTAGCGAAACCAGTCCCAGGCGAGCCGTTATTTCTGTACATCGCCGTCTCAGATACAGCAATAAGCGGAGTCATCGTTAGAGAAGACAGAGGAGAACAGAAGCCAATATTCTATGTTTCGCAAACTTTCACCGACGTAGAAACACGCTACCCGCAAACTGAAAAGCTCGCTCTCGCCGTAGTAATGTCAGCTCGGAAACTACGGCCGTATTTCCAATCTCACTCAATTGTCGTCATGGCGCCTTTATCACTCCGAACTATCTTGCATAGTCCGAGCCAATCGGGACGCCTGGCCAAATGGGCAATAGAACTCAGTGAATACGACATCGAATACAGAAACAAAACGTGCGCAAAATCCCAGGTTTTGGCGGACTTTATCATCGAGCTGCAGCCAGAAAACACTCGAGAAGACTCGCCCAACGCCGTTTGGACCCTCCATGTGGATGGCTCGTCCTCAAAGCAAGGCTCAGGCGTCGGAATCCGCTTAGCATCACCGGAAGGTGAAATCCTCGAGCAATCTTTTCGGTTAAACTTCGACGCGACTAACAACGTGGCAGAATACGAAGCACTGATAGCAGGGCTGAAGCTGGCCCGGGGACTAAAGATCAACAAGCTGCGAGCTTTCTGCGACTCCCAGCTCGTGGCCAATCAATTCAACGGAGAATACGCGGCTCGCGATGAACGAATGGAAGCGTATCTGGCTCTCACGCAAGACCTGGCAAAACAGTTCGGAGAATTCGAGTTGACCAGAATCCCGCGAGGCGAGAACACATCGGCCGACGCTTTAGCGGCTCTAGCTTCAACCTCCGATCCAAATCTGAAGAGAATCATACCGGTTGAGTTCATCGAAAAGCCGAGTATCGAAGACAGCAGCAAAGATCAAATACTAACAGCTCGGGAGACGGAAGAGCCGGAAGAAATGGACACCGAACTGCTAGACCAACCAACTACAGACACAACCGAGCCCGAATACGGAAGCGATGCCAAATGGATCGGAGACATCCGAAGTTACATAGCCGATGGAGAAGTTCCTACCGAGAAATGGACAGCTCGGAAGCTTAAAGCAAAAGCAGCTCGGTATACTCTGATCGACGGAGAACTCTTTAAGTGGCGGTTCTCCGGACCCCTGCTAATCTGTGTTGAAGGAAACGAAGCTCGGAGAGTCATGGAAGAAGTACACGGCGGATCTTGTGGAAATCACTCTGGCGGGAGAGCCCTAGCCATAAAGATCAAACGCCACGGATATTTTTGGCCGACGATGGTCAAAGATTACGAGAAGTTTTCTCAACGGTGCGACAAATGCCAGAGGCACGCACCAACTATTCATCAACCCGCCGAGCTCCTCTCTTCCATCACCTCGCCTTACCCCTTCATGCGCTGGTCCATGGACATTATCGGACCTCTACACAACTCCAAGCAGAAGAAACTCGTCCTCGTACTAACAGACTACTTCTCAAAATGGATCGAGGCGGACTCCTATGCCAGCATCAAAGACGCACAGGTCGAGAACTTCGTCTGGAAAAACATCATATGCCGCCACGGGATACCTTACGAAATCGTTACAGACAACGGATCGCAGTTCATCTCGGCTCGATTCGAAGGATTCTGTGAGAAATGGGGAATTCGCCTCAGCAAGTCTACGCCTCAGTATCCTCAGGGAAACGGACAGGCGGAAGCAGCAAACAAGACGATTCTCGACGGAATAAAGAAGCGCCTCGACGCGAAGAAAGGCCGCTGGGCCGACAAATTGGAAGGAGTACTATGGTCGCACAGAACCACGCCGCGGCGAGCCACGGGAGAAACACCTTTCGCCCTTGTTTACGGTACGGAGTGTGTGATTCCCACCGAAGCCGAAATCCCAGGAATAAGAAGAAGTCTGCTCCCCGAGCAGGAAAATTCCAACACTCAGATGATGCTGGACGAACTGGACTTAATTGACGAAAGAAGAGATTCGGCTTTGGTCCGTATGCAGAACTATCAGAATGCTACAGCTCGGTACTACAATTCTCACGTTAAGCATCGCCGCTTCCACGAAGGAGATCTCGTACTACGCAAAGTTTTCCAGAATACTGCCGAACAGAACGCCATGATCGCAAATTGGGAAGGACCTTACACGATCGCAAAGGTGATCCGTCCTGGCGTCTACGAACTCACCGATATGAACGGCAAAGCGGTACCTAGATCCTGGAACGCAATGCATCTAAGGAAATATTATCGCTAAGAACCTAAGGTACGCATGTACTTGAACTACGGGGTGGCTTGATCCCTGAAAAGGGTACGTAGGCAGCTCGTCCTCGGACGAGTTCAGCTACCCCCCCTAATTAAAAAAGGGGGGGGAGTGGGTCCGTATACACATACTCCCACTGGAACTTTTTAACAAATTTTCTTAAGTTTAATCCTTCGGATTAAACATTTGATCCTCCTCGACATCTATCGTCATATAAAGCTAACAGTTCGTTCGGACGATGGCCACGTCCACGAACAGAGAGCTCATTTCACCGCCTCGGTTACAGCGCGCTATATAAGCATCCAAGACAATTAGGTCGGAGATATCTTGCCAAACATAAATTGTCTTCAGGAAACCCAGTTGACTTCGACACTGGTGCCCCAGTTCGCTTCTAAGCACTGGCTATTGACTATATCAGATCGGGTCGCAACCGAAAAGGATTGTAGTCCTACTTACGAAAACCCAGTTACCTTAACACTGGTACGCTATTTGTTTTAACGGTTTGGAAGTTAAAATAATCCCGAAAACTAACTTCTACTTAACGAAAGTCATTTTTATCGAAACCCAATCACCCTAGCATTGGTGCGTAATCCGCTTTCTCGGCTCGGAAGTTAAAACGATTCGAAAGAATTAACTTCTCAACGAACAAATCAGATTTACGAAAACCCAGTTACTTAACACTGGTATCGAATTTAATTCATAAACATTCCAGGATAAACGAAACAATTCAAATACTTAAAAAGAACGTGTTCAAACGGATAAAGCCATCCATGCATAAGTTTTACAAAAGAGATATTTAAAACGGAAAACAAAAAGAGGAGACACCTCGGGCTCATTCATCCTGCTCTCCGTCAGGAACATCTCCGGCCTCGGAATTCAAGTTCGTGCCCGCTTGATCGAGCACTCCAGCGTCGGCTGCTTCGCTTTCTACCGACCTGTTCCCAAGGCCGTCATGAGTAGAGTCGGGAGACACCGGAGGGATCTTCAGATATCCAAGGAGCTCGGCCCCCAGCCTGGCGTACTCAGCCTCGGCATCTCCAAACTCTTCTTTCCACTTGGCGACCTCGAGCTTCTCTTCTTCGATCTTTCCCCCGGTTTCAAGCGCTTCGATCAGCTCGGCGTTAGCTTTCGCCTGAGAGAAGTAGACGTACCGCTCGGAGACTTTGTCGAATTCAGCCAATTTCGCCTCGGTCATTCTGACCTTCTCGACGAATTCTCCGGCAATTTTCCGCTCACCAGCCTTGATATAAGATCGGGAATCACTCCACAATCTTATGAACAAACGGTGATCAAGAACTGATCAACAAAGCTTTGGCGGAAGATGGAAACGTAGGTAAAGGCGGTGATGGTGCTTGTGATTGACTCTCTCAATCCGTGGGGCGATTGACTCTCTCAATCCGTGGAGAACTAGACTTGTTTGAATCACACAAACAATCCTAATCCTATAATCTCAAGAATCAAATGAATCTCTCAAATGAAACTTAAAGACAAACTTTAAACAAAGACACTCTTTGAATAAAAACAAACTTGTATATTTCTTAGATGATTGAAAGGTGATCTTTACAATAGAACAATATGAGCTTATATAGGCTTTTTTCTAACGTCTATAAGACTAGAAGAAGAAAGAAAGTGCACGAAATAAAGATGCCTAAGATATTATAGCCGTTAGGCTTAATTGCTTGAATCTTGGCCGAGTAAGGAAATATGATTGACTCCTCTTTATATCTCGAAATCTTCTTGATATTTCCATGTGAGAGAAGCCTCTGGTCCATGTAGAAGCTCCTACAAGACGTGGCCTTGATTGCGCTAAAGGAATCTAGTTGTTGGAATGCATTGAAGGCTTTCGGGTCTAGATATGGAAAGTCTTGGTGTTTGAGTGGGCAAGATTGAATCCACCTGATCCAATGGCTGGAAATGAAGCTTGAGATGTTCTTAAGATACTCTAGTAGTATGAGATTCTTCTGGACGCCAAAGTCTGGTTTGCAAGTAATTTAACCCGTCAGCTTCCAAATAAGGCATGCTGAGAATCATTTGGTTTAGACAATTAATATCTCCTAAACCAAAATCGTTTTGGGCTTGATTCCAATTCGACGAGATCCTCTGATGAGTCAAGAATGTAGTAAAATTCACTTCGTAGCTTAAATCCTTCTGGTCTGGTCGGAATCCTCCAATAAGTAGCTGTTGGTCTCCATCGGGTTCATTGGAAGTCTGCTGACTTGTAACTTGAATATCTTTCTCATGTGGAAAGCTTTTGAACCAATTCCACCTCTCCGTGATTCCTTGATCCTGGGCTGATGATGACTTGATGTCCTCATCATACTCTCCCTCTTGACGAAGTTTCGACCTCGAAACTAGATCCCCTGCACCAAGTGAAAGCAAGTTAGCTTTCATTCGTTTTTGTGAGCTTAGGGTCTTACCTTGATAAGATTGGTGTTTGGTGATGGATGGGACGTCTGGGGGTTCTCCTTTGAGTAGGTATGATAGTATCAGTCCTATGTTCTGGTATGGGGCGTGGTTTCTCCTCTTGAGTTCAAGATTCGTTTCATCTTTCACTTCTTTGGTGGCCTTTGGGATAATCTTCTTTGGGGTTGAGTCTTCTAGCAACAAAGGCTTGTCTGGTGGAACTTCTTTGCGCTTTATCTCCTTAGTACCTGAAATAATCTCAACACTTTGGACAAGAAACAAGTGCATTATATCTGAGTTTAAAATCATATAGATAGGCCTTGAAATACTTAAACTCACATTGATGCTATTAGCTAGTTGAAGTATGGTTTGCTCTTTGTCTCGATATGATCTGATTGCTCCATAGCTTTGCTCTTCAGTGTGTTTGGTTACGCCAAATTCAAGATCTCTAGGATCCTTAGTGCATCCTGTAACAACATCCTTTGGCAAAGACAAGTGCATTAATCTTGAATTGGAAGAGTTAAAACTTGATTCAACTAGATTAGTGCTCATCTCTCCTAAAGCCGGTTTTGGTTCTTGTGAAGTTGATTTGATTACTACTCTATCAGGGCAAGTTGCAGCAAAATGTCCTCTCTTATGACATCTATAACAAGTAGGTTCTTTTAACTTAACAGAGTTAGAGTTAGAGGACTTACCTTGAAGTGATTTTCCTTGAAGTTCAAGTGAGGGTATAAAAATAGAACTTTGTTGAACCTCCTTCACCTGAATTGGTTTCTTAGCCTCTCTTGTTATTTTCTGACACATAAGCCTCTTAGGGATGTAGCCCTGGTTGTGGAACCTCAGTACAAACTCCTTGTACATTCTCTGCTTGAGATCTCCCCAAGTTAGAATTGGCTTAATGTAGTGGGACATAAGTTCTTCACTTGTCCACCATGAATGAGCTTCTCCAACAAGTGAGTTAACAGCATGGGCTAGTCTCTCCTCCTTTGGGATGTTGTGGAACCGAAACCAATACTCAATTTCCCTCTCCCAATTTATATAAGCTTCTGGTCCTTGTTTATGACCTGAAAAGGTTAGGAGTTGAAAATCAAATTGTTCACAACTATTACCTTGGTTGCTTTGGGTTTGGTGGGTGTAACCATGTGAAGTATGGCCACGTGCTGCTTGCTCCATGTCACCATGTCCTGGCTCATCATCTTCCCATCTCTCAACCTTATTGATTTCCTCACCCTCATGAGCATATTCCTCTTGATATCCTAATTCTTCACCATTATGCTCAGTTTCTTCTAAACTGATTAGTGAATCAGTTTCTTCTTCATATGTGTAAGGCTCCACGAACTGGTCTTCATGATTGAGTTCTCCATGTGCAGCTTCAATTTCATGGTCTCCATCTCCTATACTGAATTGAGATTCAGTCTCTTCATGCCATGAGCCCCTTTCATGGTTTTTTTCTAATTCACCTTCATGGCTATAGTCTGGTGGTACAGAGTCAGGTTCTCCAAAACGTGGCTCATCTCCAAAGTCAGAGACTGAGTAATCATTTTCATGCCACGCTTCTTCTCCTCCATAACTGACTTCAGAATCAGTTTCTCCACCCCATGAACCATCTTCTTCCTCCACCGAGTGTTGGCTTGTTTCTTCTCCCCAATCAATTTCTGAGGTGTTGACTTCACTCCTTTCATCTTCTTCTTCACTTGAATCCATGGTGGCTTCTCTTTTAGGATTATTCCTCGCAAGAAAACAAAGAGAAGTGTATCAGAGTCGTAATAAGCAAAAGAAGGAAAGAACAACAAAAAAGGCAAAAACAAATAAATGGCAAGATTCTTTTTTTTTTTTTTTGACAGAGATAATTTCGAAAATTCAGCTAATAAAAGAACAAAATGTTAATTTTCTTTTCTTTTTATGGTATAGGACGAAAAAAAAAAAAATTCAGAAACAACTAAAAATAATTTTTTTTTTTTTTTTTTTGATTTTTGAATTTATAAAGATAAAACAAAGCAAAAAGAACAATTACTTGGATTTGATGGTTTTCTTTGGATTAAATAGAAATAAGCTGCAAAATAATTTCTTTTTTTTTATTAATGAGGTTATATATTAATAAGTAAACAAGGAAAAACTTTTTTTTTTTAATGGTTTTTTTTTTATTTTAAGAAATTAAAATAAAGAAAAGAAAAACAAAAAGACAATTTTTATGATTTTCGGTTTAGTGAATAAAAAATGCAAAACAAAATTGAAAAGGATAAAGGTTGGATGAACACAACCTGAGGATAGGAGCTTTTAGCTCTGATACCAGATGATATAAGATCGGGAATCACTCCACAATCTTATGAACAAACGGTGATCAAGAACTGATCAACAAAGCTTTGGCGGAAGATGGAAACGTAGGTAAAGGCGGTGATGGTGCTTGTGATTGACTCTCTCAATCCGTGGGGCGATTGACTCTCTCAATCCGTGGAGAACTAGACTTGTTTGAATCACACAAACAATCCTAATCCTATAATCTCAAGAATCAAATGAATCTCTCAAATGAAACTTAAATAAACTTTAAACAAAGACACTCTTTGAATAAAAACAAACTTGTATATTTCTTAGATGATTGAAAGGTGATCTTTACAATAGAACAATATGAGCTTATATAGGCTTTTTTCTAACGTCTATAACACTAGAAGAAGAAAGAAAGTGCACGAAATAAAGATGCCTAAGATATTATAGCCGTTAGGCTTAATTGCTTGAATCTTGGCCGAGTAAGGAAATATGATTGACTCCTCTTTATATCTCGAAATCTTCTTGATATTTCCATGTGAGAGAAGCCTCTGGTCCATGTAGAAGCTCCTACAAGACGTGGCCTTGATTGCGCTAAAGGAATCTAGTTGTTGGAATGCATTGAAGGCTTTCGGGTCTAGATATGGAAAGTCTTGGTGTTTGAGTGGGCAAGATTGAATCCACCTGATCCAATGGCTGGAAATGAAGCTTGAGATGTTCTTAAGATACTCTAGTAGTATGAGATTCTTCTGGACGCCAAAGTCTGGTTTGCAAGTAATTTAACCCGTCAGCTTCCAAATAAGGCATGCTGAGAATCATTTGGTTTAGACAATTAATATCTCCTAAACCAAAATCGTTTTGGGCTTGATTCCAATTCGACGAGATCCTCTGATGAGTCAAGAATGTAGTAAAATTCACTTCGTAGCTTAAATCCTTCTGGTCTGGTCGGAATCCTCCAATAAGTAGCTGTTGGTCTCCATCGGGTTCATTGGAAGTCTGCTGACTTGTAACTTGAATATCTTTCTCATGTGGAAAGCTTTTGAACCAATTCCACCTCTCCGTGATTCCTTGATCCTGGGCTGATGATGACTTGATGTCCTCATCATACTCTCCCTCTTGACGAAGTTTCGACCTCGAAACTAGATCCCCTGCACCAAGTGAAAGCAAGTTAGCTTTCATTCGTTTTTGTGAGCTTAGGGTCTTACCTTGATAAGATTGGTGTTTGGTGATGGATGGGACGTCTGGGGGTTCTCCTTTGAGTAGGTATGATAGTATCAGTCCTATGTTCTGGTATGGGGCGTGGTTTCTCCTCTTGAGTTCAAGATTCGTTTCATCTTTCACTTCTTTGGTGGCCTTTGGGATAATCTTCTTTGGGGTTGAGTCTTCTAGCAACAAAGGCTTGTCTGGTGGAACTTCTTTGCGCTTTATCTCCTTAGTACCTGAAATAATCTCAACACTTTGGACAAGAAACAAGTGCATTATATCTGAGTTTAAAATCATATAGATAGGCCTTGAAATACTTAAACTCACATTGATGCTATTAGCTAGTTGAAGTATGGTTTGCTCTTTGTCTCGATATGATCTGATTGCTCCATAGCTTTGCTCTTCAGTGTGTTTGGTTACGCCAAATTCAAGATCTCTAGGATCCTTAGTGCATCCTGTAACAACATCCTTTGGCAAAGACAAGTGCATTAATCTTGAATTGGAAGAGTTAAAACTTGATTCAACTAGATTAGTGCTCATCTCTCCTAAAGCCGGTTTTGGTTCTTGTGAAGTTGATTTGATTACTACTCTATCAGGGCAAGTTGCAGCAAAATGTCCTCTCTTATGACATCTATAACAAGTAGGTTCTTTTAACTTAACAGAGTTAGAGTTAGAGGACTTACCTTGAAGTGATTTTCCTTGAAGTTCAAGTGAGGGTATAAAAATAGAACTTTGTTGAACCTCCTTCACCTGAATTGGTTTCTTAGCCTCTCTTGTTATTTTCTGACACATAAGCCTCTTAGGGATGTAGCCCTGGTTGTGGAACCTCAGTACAAACTCCTTGTACATTCTCTGCTTGAGATCTCCCCAAGTTAGAATTGGCTTAATGTAGTGGGACATAAGTTCTTCACTTGTCCACCATGAATGAGCTTCTCCAACAAGTGAGTTAACAGCATGGGCTAGTCTCTCCTCCTTTGGGATGTTGTGGAACCGAAACCAATACTCAATTTCCCTCTCCCAATTTATATAAGCTTCTGGTCCTTGTTTATGACCTGAAAAGGTTAGGAGTTGAAAATCAAATTGTTCACAACTATTACCTTGGTTGCTTTGGGTTTGGTGGGTGTAACCATGTGAAGTATGGCCACGTGCTGCTTGCTCCATGTCACCATGTCCTGGCTCATCATCTTCCCATCTCTCAACCTTATTGATTTCCTCACCCTCATGAGCATATTCCTCTTGATATCCTAATTCTTCACCATTATGCTCAGTTTCTTCTAAACTGATTAGTGAATCAGTTTCTTCTTCATATGTGTAAGGCTCCACGAACTGGTCTTCATGATTGAGTTCTCCATGTGCAGCTTCAATTTCATGGTCTCCATCTCCTATACTGAATTGAGATTCAGTCTCTTCATGCCATGAGCCCCTTTCATGGTTTTTTTCTAATTCACCTTCATGGCTATAGTCTGGTGGTACAGAGTCAGGTTCTCCAAAACGTGGCTCATCTCCAAAGTCAGAGACTGAGTAATCATTTTCATGCCACGCTTCTTCTCCTCCATAACTGACTTCAGAATCAGTTTCTCCACCCCATGAACCATCTTCTTCCTCCACCGAGTGTTGGCTTGTTTCTTCTCCCCAATCAATTTCTGAGGTGTTGACTTCACTCCTTTCATCTTCTTCTTCACTTGAATCCATGGTGGCTTCTCTTTTAGGATTATTCCTCGCAAGAAAACAAAGAGAAGTGTATCAGAGTCGTAATAAGCAAAAGAAGGAAAGAACAACAAAAAAGGCAAAAACAAATAAATGGCAAGATTCTTTTTTTTTTTTTTGACAGAGATAATTTCGAAAATTCAGCTAATAAAAGAACAAAATGTTAATTTTCTTTTCTTTTTATGGTATAGGACGAAAAAAAAAAAAAATTCAGAAACAACTAAAAATAATTTTTTTTTTTTTTTTTTTTGATTTTTGAATTTATAAAGATAAAACAAAGCAAAAAGAACAATTACTTGGATTTGATGGTTTTCTTTGGATTAAATAGAAATAAGCTGCAAAATAATTTCTTTTTTTTTATTAATGAGGTTATATATTAATAAGTAAACAAGGAAAAACTTTTTTTTTTTAATGGTTTTTTTTTTATTTTAAGAAATTAAAATAAAGAAAAGAAAAACAAAAAGACAATTTTTATGATTTTCGGTTTAGTGAATAAAAAATGCAAAACAAAATTGAAAAGGATAAAGGTTGGATGAACACAACCTGAGGATAGGAGCTTTTAGCTCTGATACCAGATGATATAAGATCGGGAATCACTCCACAATCTTATGAACAAACGGTGATCAAGAACTGATCAACAAAGCTTTGGCGGAAGATGGAAACGTAGGTAAAGGCGGTGATGGTGCTTGTGATTGACTCTCTCAATCCGTGGGGCGATTGACTCTCTCAATCCGTGGAGAACTAGACTTGTTTGAATCACACAAACAATCCTAATCCTATAATCTCAAGAATCAAATGAATCTCTCAAATGAAACTTAAAGACAAACTTTAAACAAAGACACTCTTTGAATAAAAACAAACTTGTATATTTCTTAGATGATTGAAAGGTGATCTTTACAATAGAACAATATGAGCTTATATAGGCTTTTTTCTAACGTCTATAAGACTAGAAGAAGAAAGAAAGTGCACGAAATAAAGATGCCTAAGATATTATAGCCGTTAGGCTTAATTGCTTGAATCTTGGCCGAGTAAGGAAATATGATTGACTCCTCTTTATATCTCGAAATCTTCTTGATATTTCCATGTGAGAGAAGCCTCTGGTCCATGTAGAAGCTCCTACAAGACGTGGCCTTGATTGCGCTAAAGGAATCTAGTTGTTGGAATGCATTGAAGGCTTTCGGGTCTAGATATGGAAAGTCTTGGTGTTTGAGTGGGCAAGATTGAATCCACCTGATCCAATGGCTGGAAATGAAGCTTGAGATGTTCTTAAGATACTCTAGTAGTATGAGATTCTTCTGGACGCCAAAGTCTGGTTTGCAAGTAATTTAACCCGTCAGCTTCCAAATAAGGCATGCTGAGAATCATTTGGTTTAGACAATTAATATCTCCTAAACCAAAATCGTTTTGGGCTTGATTCCAATTCGACGAGATCCTCTGATGAGTCAAGAATGTAGTAAAATTCACTTCGTAGCTTAAATCCTTCTGGTCTGGTCGGAATCCTCCAATAAGTAGCTGTTGGTCTCCATCGGGTTCATTGGAAGTCTGCTGACTTGTAACTTGAATATCTTTCTCATGTGGAAAGCTTTTGAACCAATTCCACCTCTCCGTGATTCCTTGATCCTGGGCTCGAGCCACCTCGGTCTCACGAAGAGCCTTCTCCTCGACAAGCAGGCGCTTAAGTCGCTCGATCTCCGCTTCGGCCTTCCGACGAATACGAACGCTCTCCTTGGCTTCTTTTCGCCGCGCCTCCTGCTCGGCGACAACTTGCGCCTCGGCGGTCTCTATGGCTATTACCGCCTCGGCAACCTTCTTCTCAGCTTCGGCCCGAGCAGCATCGAATTGCTCCCTGGCCACAGCATGCTCGCGAGCCGCGGAGTCATAGGAATGAACCATGGTGTTCATCGAGGAAAAGGCCTAGAAAACGGAGACATGTTAAATACGAAACAAGGCAGGCTCATCCCAAAACAAGAGAATAGTCGTTACCTTCAAGAAATTGGCCGAGGTCTCGCCGTATCGCTCCGCCTCGACTAAACCTTCTGGGGCAGGAAGCAGCGGCCAGGCACAAGAGGCGATAAGGTTGGCAGAAGCAACCTTGTCCTGGTAAATTGGCCGAGAGGAGCTATGAGCTCTCTTCGACTTCTTGCGCTTGTCCCCGGAATGTTCTCCTCGGGGACGCTTTCCTTTAGACTTTGTCTGCCCACCAGCAGGCAGACCAACAACCAGTGCATTTCCCGCCTCGGGAACCTGGTCAGTGACATCTCCAGTACGGGTGTCCTCAAGCACCTCGGGAGAAGCCACAACAGCAGCCAAGTCAACCCCCGATCCCACGGGATCGACAGTCACCTCAGGATCAATGGTCGCCTCAGTCGCCCCTGCCGCCTCGGGCGGAGTCAGAGGCCCGAAAGCCGCCTCGATTGCTCTCGCCTCCTCGCGAGCCTTTTTCTCAGCAGCTTTCCTTTCCCGCCGTGAAGTACCCTTAGCGCTTTTTCTACCCTTTCTTGAGAAAAATGTTTTATCCAGTGACACTTCCTTGCAGCCAACTCCTCGTGCGCACTAAAAAGGTCCTCGGGGATACGATCAAGGAAGCTCGGGCCTCGGTCTGCAAAAAATCGAAAAACGAACAATCAGTTGAAGGTGAGTTAAAACACATAGCAAGCAGAAACTTCAGATAAGCTACCAATCTTTCTCCATTTCCCGATCATTTTCCCAAGACAGCCTTCAGGGACACAGTCTTCGTCAAGGGCAATATAGAAGAAGTGATCGGTATACTTCTCGTCCTTGCTCGGGAAGCCACCGATAACTCTTCGCCTCGTGCGAGGAGAAATATAATATCTCTCCATTGCACAGCCCGGAACCCGTCGAATCTCCAGCAGATTCCTCAGATGATCAAGGCCGATGTTGTTATACGTTTCGATCCCACGTATCAAAATCCCAATCAAATGTCTTAGGCCTCGGGTCGTGATCTGGGCTAGAGCAAGTTTATACGACCACATATATTCGATTATTGGCCTCAGGATCAGAAACCAAAGGAAACAGAAATAGAAGAACCCCTCGTATAAAGTGAAGAATCCCTCGGGAGGATCATCAGCCCTCTCGCTCGGGGTTGGCAGTCGCAGAGTGATCCCCTCGCTGAAGTTGAAACGCGCCTTTAGATCCCGAAGCGAGTCTGAAGTCGACAAAGTGGAACCAGGGGGATCAGGCTTTTTCACTTTCTTGGCTCGGGTTTTCTTCCTTTGAGCCATTGCACCTTGGATTGCCAACTGAAGGAGCCTGGCACCCTCCGCGGGATCATAAGCTACCATTTCACCCTTCACCTCGGGTAAAATCGGCAGCTTGGGCACATCTTGCCAACAAGAAACACCAGCCTCGTCCGGAGCCGGAGGACGCGTCCTCCTATTCAAAACCGCCTCGGGGTCATCAGGGAGATCCTCATCCCGAGCTATATCAGCAATCGCATCTTCCCGAACCACAAATTGGCTCGGATCTTCTCGTTGCTCAGACGACGACTCCGCTCCGCTGTCCGGCTCGGGTCGACCTAGTGAACTGGCTTCGGACCCATCCGAGCTGCTCCAAACCATCTTGCGTTTATGAACAGGAATACTTCTGCCTCGGGTTGAATCACTTGAATCTGAAAGCGACATTTTCTGGCTCGGGAAAATCAGAGGATGATCGGGAAAACAAGATCTAGGAGATCGGCAAAATCAACCTAAATCTAGCAACGGTGACGCAACGACGGAAATAAATCGAAAAAGAAGAAACGTAAAGGAAATCAAGATCAGAGCGAAAGAAACAAACATTTAGATTTTTGCTCGAGAATTGCAGAACTGAAGAAATGAATCACGAGAGGAGTATTTATAAAACGCTTCGGCGCGTCGGGCGCGCGTGGATTCAAAGATAGTTTCACGTCCGCCGAAATTCTTGGGAATAAGCGAAAAACTTTTCCACTTCTCGAGAGGGAAATTCAATCGTCACACGCAAGAAGAAGATGAAGCGTCGAAGGGGATTCGAATCGTCGGAAGAATATAAATCGCCAAAGGATACGAATCATCTTCGAAACATGGATAGCCCCGGCGTATAAGGATAGGCTCGGAACAAAGTTTAAACTGCTCGGACTGACAATCGTGAAGCTCGTCACTTGCTCCTCAAGACAACGAGCTGGGGGGCTAACTGTTGGGGTCGGATTCCATCCACCTAAGACCGAGCCAAACATAAAACATCCTGAACAAACGTGCACGCCAGCTCGGGGGATCCTCTCAAAACAGCTCGGAACGATCTCTCCACCAGCTCGGGTTCTACGCTGATCGGCTCGGGCACTTTGCCATCTGGTTCGGGATTCTGCTAAGCCAACTAGACACCCGAGCCCGATGTCCGAGCCCGATTTGACGACCGAGCCCTTCCTTGGTTTGAACACCCGAGCTCGTTCTACGTCCGAGCGACCGAGCCCATCTGCGGTTCGGGTACCTAAGCCGGTTCCCTCGCCGATACCCGAGCCCGGTGAATATTTTGGTTCGAGAACAACGTCACATTGCCTCCCGAGCCGACCACTAGGAAGTCTCCAAGGTGCCCGAGGAGAAATCATCGAGACACCCGAGGCAAGTACTTAGTAAATATTTGCCTTCAAAAGTATCATTTCTAAGCAAGACATCATTTCCGATATACCCGGAAATGATAGGAGAGAATCTAGAAGGATCGACTCAAATCAGGAAATCTTCCAAAGACTCCGAAGAATGAGGAAATTATCCTAATCCGCGATATTCTAGCCGACTTCAAGATAAATGGAAATCTTCCGAGAATATCGCTGGAGAGGCGGCTTATCATCCCTATATAAAGAGACTCAAGGCTCTCACTAAAGAACAAGTAATATCGCTCTAGAATTTACACTACACAAAGCTCTTACAGCACAAACACCTTTTTCTTTTACGATCAAACTCTTGTACGATCAAAACTATTCTTTTCATCAATAAGATCAAGAACACCATCTTTGGTTACAATTGTTTCTGTTGTTCTTTGAGAATTCACGTTCATCGTATCCCT